CTGAATTAAAAACTAAATTAAAATTATAGAAAAGTATTAATTGAAGAATAACTTAAAGTAAAAGCTTTATCCTAAGAATTGGAAAATCCTATGAACGAAACTAGGTGTAGAAAATTAGAAGGAAATGATCCTGATGTATTTGAAATGAGAGCTAAATTAGTTACATTATAAAAAAGATTAATTAGTAAAACCGAATAAGTTGTAGAAAAAGAAGTCCTCATTTAATAAAAAGAAAAATAAATTTAAGAATTAAGAGAAATTATGTAAAAGTAACCTGGACCAGAAGAAGCTAAAAAATTATCTTCGCTATAATAATCTTTAAAACAAAGGACAAGATAAATGAAAGCCTTGGCTGCAGAGTTAAATATGTATTAAGCTTAGGTATTTAAAAAAAAAAAATTAAATTTATTAAAAAAAATAGATAAATGAATATAAATACGATATTGAAAAAATTAATAAAGATTTATAAGAAACCAAAAGAAAATATTATGAATAGAAAAAAAGGGATCAAATTGAATAAGAATAAAATGATAGATAAGTAAATTTTATTTATTTATTATTAATTTAATTTACTAAAATTAGAAATGAATAAATGCATTTCATTATTATCTATTATTAAGAATGTTTTTTTAAAGTAAATTCAAGAATAAAAAATTAATATTAATATATACATTTTATTATTAAAAAACTTTTTAAAATTTAATTAAAAATTAATAATTTTTTTTAATAATAAAATTCTAAAATATTTTATCTTTTTATTAATTATATTTTAATTTAAATAATATAGTAAATCAATATTTAAATTAATTTAGTAAAAATTTATTTATTTCAAAATTAAAAAAAAAAATTAACAATAATTTTGTATTTTTTTTTTAAGTTATTTAAAAATTAATTATATATATATTTTTTTTTTATTCTATTCTATTTTTTTATAAATCACATTTAAAAAAATATAATTTACAGTTTTTTTTATAATAAAACTATTCTAAATTCATAATAGATTTAATTCATAATATTTTATTTTCAAACCTTTTAATAAAATTAATTATTATATTATTAATAATTAAAAATTAAAAAGTATTTATACTTTTATATTTTAATATTTGTGAATATTAAATTTATAATTATATACTATTTATTATTTAAAATTTATTTTTTACATAATTAAATTATATTAATAATATCCTTTTATATATTTTAAAAAACATATAAAAACTCAATTTAGAAAATAAATTTTATATATAAATAACACAAAAGCAGATAGTAAAATAAAAAATAATAATCATTTATATAAATTCTGTTTTCGTATTTATATTTGAATGAATTTAAAAATCCTTCTTATTATAGATATCTTTTTTTTTTTTGCATTATAATATTTAAATAATTATTTTTAATTAATTTTACAATTTATTTACTAAATTAACAATATTTTATTTTAAGCTATTTTAAAAATTTTAATTAGTTTTTTATTATAAATAAAGTTTAATTTGCAAAAATAATGATTATGTTTTTGACATTTAATTACATTATATTTAAATTTATTTTATTTGAATAAGAAAAGAAATTTAAAGTAAAACTTATAATATTAATATCTAGATATAGTTTTTTAAAAAAGTGTTTTTAATTTATTTATTTATATCATATTATTTATTAATACAAATATTATAAAAAAAAAATATTTTATTTTAATATTTTCAAGTAAGAAAAAAATTAAATTAATTATTTATTAATAATATTAATAACAACATTTTAATATAATTTATAAGTTAAAATGAAAATCAAATCGAAAAGTCTATATTTAAATTAAAATCAAGTAAATGATGATAAAATACTTTTCCATGAATAAAGTCATATTCAAAATTATATATTTGCGGTCGAAAATATTAAATTTATACATTATTTTTATGATTCTGATGTTTAATTTATTTTTAGTTTTATTTAAATTGCCATAAAAGAAGTAAAAATTTTAATATTTTTGTTTTGAAATATTTTTATGATTAAAAAAGAGTTATTACAGACTTCAATTATTCTTACCGAAAATTTTTAATTTTATAGAAAACTAAAATGCAGAAATAAATGTAAAAATGAAAATATATATTAAAATATAATTGTATAATATGAATAAATAAATAATAAAATATTTTTTAAAATAAAAATAAATAAATTAATCAATCTACAGATATTAATAAAAAAAATGAAAAATTTAATTTGAAAAATAAATAAAAATATATAGCTTTTATAACTTTTTATAAATTACTTAATTTAAAAATAAAAATAGAGATATAAATTAAAATTAATAATTGAATCAATCATAACAATTTTAAATATAAAAAATTAAATATAAAATCCAGATAACTTATATGAAAAAGTATGTAAATCAATATAACAATTGAACTAAGGAGAATTGGAAGAAAAGAACGTTAAGAAGGATCTTTAAAAAAAATACATTTAAAATATAAAGCAATTAAAATATGCATTATAACCTTTAGTTCATTACTTTCATTGGTACAAAAAGAACAATTAGCAAAATAATCTATGTAAATGGAAATTATATAAATGGTGTTAATTTTTAATTGAGTAAAATAAAAAAAATATACATATAAATAATAAAAAAAAGAAATTTACAAAGAAAAATGACACAAGTAAACAATTAAAAATAAGAGTTTTAATGTAGACTATGTGAATCAAAAATAGATGTAAAAGAGGCAGATGATCACTCATAAATGTGTTTAAAAAACTAAACATAAAAAAAAAAATATTAACAATGGATTTAGAGCTAGTTAATATTATTGACTAATGTACAAAGATACGATAAGATTGTAGAAAATAGTTAAATGCCTAAATATATTAATAAAATAAATAAATTAAATAATAACAAGAGAAATAATATGATGAATATGAAGAATAAAAAAAGGTTTAAGGGGATTATAATATAAGAATGAAAATTGAAAGAAAATAATTAAAGAGACTAGGCACGACAATAATAAAAAACACAGACAAAATAAAGAATGAAGATAAATAAGATATAAAGGAAGAATATTTAAATTAATTAAAGAAAGAACTCGATATTTTAAAAGAAATAATATCATATGGAGAAAAGGTTATAAACGCTAATTAATAAACATTAGATTTTAGAAAAGAATTCGAATTGAAATTGAAAATGGATGATTGGTTAATAGATGAAAATAAAAATGAAGTCCGAAAAATAATTGAAACATTCGCATATCATTTAGATTAAAGAATCGATTTAACAAAAAGTGTTCAAAAGAATGAAAGTGAAATTAATTAATAATAATAAAAAAAAAATAACACACCTTCTTTATAAATGTGGAAAAATATTTCTATATCTTTTAGTGCAAAAAAGGCTGGATAGTTAAGATAAGAATAAAAAAGTGCTATTGCAAAAAAATCTTAATTTATAAAGGATAAAGAATCTTCAGATAGTACTAATAATAATAGTAATAGTAGTGTAGATACTTAAGGTGAGAAAAAAAAGGTGACTTCTTTTGCAAGTAATAGTATAAGTTAGAAATTAAAGTAAAAAATGTAATAGAATGTAAGTAATTATTAATAACAATTAATTTAGTAATAGTAATCAGCCTACTAAGAAGAAAATGAGCCAAATCGAAAAAATTATATTTAAAATATAAAATTACAAGATGTAATATAAGAAGATGAAAATGAATAAATATCAACTCCATTAATAAATACGATGATTAGTCCATACTAACAAAATAATGCATTTATCTTGGAAGAAAATGAAGAATAATTTTCATCTAAGTAAAGCTTAAGTTAAATCGAAAAATCAAACAATTAATAAAGTTAAAATATTGTTTCCTTTACTTAGTTAAGTGAAAGTATTTAGGATTATAATATGTCGTAAAATGATACTTTGAATAAAGAAATGAATTTTTCAACTGAAGATTCTATTAATAAATATGAAAAAATCAGTAATATTATTGATAGAAAAAGTAAGTTTTCTTAAGAAAATTTTAAAAAATATAACTCTTCATCTGATAGTGAATATGATGATATTATTTAAAATATGATTTAAGAAGAAAAAAAAGAATCGAAATGAATATTGACTAAGATGAATATTAGCCAGCCTATTTTTTCAAAATGAAGGAAATTACCAATAAATAGAAATATTAAAAAAGCAAATTTTTTTATTTGCATAAAAATAAATAATTTGATGAAAATCTCCATCCAAACTAAAATGATTCTTAAGAAAATTTAAATATTAATAAAGAAAAAATTTAAAATTTTAATAAAGAGGAAGCCAATTTTAATAAACAAAACGAGAATAATTATAAGAAAGAAGATAAAAAACCTGAAGAAGAGCAAAATTAAAAAAAATCTTTCAGTTTATCTGGGATTAATTAAAAACTAAAATAAAAAAATATTACTTAATTAGTAAAAAAAGACTCTTAAGAAGAAGAAGAAAAAAAGAAAAAAGAAGAACTAGAAAAAAAGAAAAAACAGGAAGATGAAGAAAAAGAGGAAAAAAAAAAGTTAGAAAAATTATAAAATTAAAGAAAATAACAAGAGGAAGAAGAAGAAAATAAACAAAAAATAGAGAAAGAAAGCAAAAGAAAAGAACAAGAACAAGAACAATAAAGAAAATAAGAAGAAGAAGAAGAAGAAGAAGAAGAAGAAGAAATTAAAAATAAATAACTAAATTATACAAAAAATTCAAACTTATAAAAAGGCAAAGAAGAAAAGCCTAAAAAGTCGATTTCATTTTCAAAAAACATAAATGATAGGCTAAAAGAAAAGAATAAAAAATCGCCTTAAAAAGATAGCAATAATTCATCTATAGACACTAATGAATAATAACAAGATCTAAATTAAAATCAACAAAAAAGCCAAAAACCTAAAAAATCAATTAAATTTGCAGTAGAAATCTTAGAAAAAGAAGAAGATAAACAAATAGAAGTTGAGAGAAAACCAATAATCAATACACAAGAACCCGAAAAAATTTAAAAAAAATATTTTAGGAAAAAACAAGAAAAAGTTGTAGAAACATACTATCCTGATATGAGTGATTTTGATATGTACGATATCATTAACGAAAAAGGATACAATAGTGACTCTGAATTTGTCAAATTGGACGCTTAAAAAAAAAAAAACTAACTATCTGTAGGATTTAAAGATTTCGAATTTCTAAAAATGCTTGGAAAAGGAGCTTACGGGGGTGTTTATTTAGTTAAAAAAGTTAGTAGCAATGATTTATTTGCTATGAAAGTTATCGACTGTTCTGGGAAAGTATATTTATTACATATATAATTTTTTTTAAAAAAAATAACTTATAAATAAAATTAATAAAGTTAGATTAAAAATACATTGAAACTTTAAAATCAGAAAGAAATGTTTTTGAATTAATTACAGGCGACTGGGTTGTTAAAGCTGTAAAAAATAAAATAAAATAATATAAAATAATATAAAATAAATAGTTTTATTCATTTTCTCACGAAAATTATTTGTGTTTTGTATAAGAATATATGATGGGAGGTGATTTTATGAAGATATTAAATACATATACAGCTTTAGATGAATAAATTGTGCGAATATATATGGCATAACTAGTATGTGCAATAGAATACTTACATTCATTAGATATAGTACATAGAGATTTAAAACCAGATAATATGTTAATTGATTATACAGGACATTTAAAGTTAGCAGATTTCGGACTTTCTGAAGTAGGATTTAATTAAAAGTTAAACTAACATATAATTCAAAAAACTAATAATAATGATAAAAACAATAATAATGTTACTTAAATTATTGATTGTGAAGAAGAGAAATTTGAAACTGAAATTAAGTTTGAAGGAAAACATAAATAATAAGATAATAACTAAATTGAATAATAATAATAAATATAATAGTATATTTTTTATTTATATAATATTATTATTTATCTAATTAATAATATATTATTATTATTTACTTTTTAAATAATATAGAGCTAAAGTTGCTAGAATCGTTGGTACTCCAGATTATATAGCTCCAGAAGTAATAAATGGTTTATCAAGTAATAATAAGTCACTTGATTGGTGGAGTATGGGTGTTATTATGTATGAATTTTTAGTTGGACTGCCACCTTTTAATGCAGATACAGTAGAATAAATATTTGATAATATAAAAAATTTGAATATGGAATGGCCAGAAATAGGAGATCCTGAAGATGGTGATAAAATATCACCCGAAGCAGCTGATTTAATAAAGAAATTATTAGAAACAGACTATTTAAAAAGATTAGGCGCAAATGGAGCTAAAGATGTCAAAGAGCATCCGTTTTTTAAAGGTATATTTTTAAATTCATAGAAATATGTATTTAAATGTTCATTGTAAATTAATTTATAAAGGTGTTGAATGGACTAAATTAAGAAGTATGAAAGCTCCAATTTAACCAAAAGGTAAATAAGCTTAGGAGTTAAAGGAGAAAAGAGAAAAAGAAAAAGAATAAATGCAATAATTTGTGAAAACTTTGAATACTAATAAGTAAAACTTAAATAAATAATCTGATGTTAGTAAAAAACTTAATGATGAGTTGAAAAATATGGAAAGATTAGATTTATTTATTAACATGAATATTGAAGAAGCTAAATCATTAATGTATTATTTTATTTTATTTATATATATTTGTTAAAAAAAGGGAATAAAAACAAAATTAAGTTAAAAAGTTTAAAAACTAATAGATAAATATAATAATGCTTTAAATTTTATACAAAATAAAGCTAAAAATTATAATCCTTTATAAATTTTAGATAGTTTCGAATTTTGAAAAATATTATTATTTATGTATGTTTAAAATTATCTTATTTTTTTTTTTTTAATTGATTAAAAGATACTTTTATTTATTTAAAAATGTCTTTTTATTTTTTTTCTAATTATAAATTTACATTTTTTTTTTATTTGAATTAATGTATTAATTAATTATATTTATATATAAAACAAAATTTTAAAATTTAATATTTTTAGAATATTTAATGTCAATTATAGTATATTTTTGAAATGTAAAATTAGTTAAAATTTTAATTAAAATTATAATTTTAGCAATATCAATTAAATTATATAAAACTAAAATATATAAATTTTTAAAAAATAAAAATTAATATAATACAAATATATGAAGATATTATATTTGTATATATTTAAATATAAAAAAATATATTAAAATTATCTTTTTTTAATATAATTAATTTAAAAAATTTAAAATTAAGAAAAAGAAAATTAAAAATGCTATAATAATAATAGTTTATTAATAATGATAAAACAAAAAAATTAAAAAGATAAAGATAAAAACAAAAAGTTAAACGACAAAAACTATGATATAAGTAGTGGAGATGTAAAACTTGAATAAAAAATTTATAAAGTGTTAGTAATAGAGGAAGACCTGCATCTAATAAAAATTAAGAAAATATTGATATTGATATTATAATTAACAAATATTATAAATTTGCCGATTCCAAATATGGATAACAAAATTTAGATTTAATTTTATATTTATTTAGATAATATTATATTGAAAATCATAAGGATTATCTAAAAAAATGTAGTTCAACAATTAAAAAAGGTAAAAAAACAAACTAAACTAAAATAAAAATACAAACTAAACTAAAATAAAAAACAAATATAAATAAAAGTCATACTAATAAAACAGCTATTATAATAATATAATAATTATTAATTTTTTAAAATGCATACCTTTAAATAATTATATATTTATTAATAAAAATTTTAAAATGAATTTTATTTTATGATCTTCTGTTATTTTTTTTTTTTATAATTATAATTATAAGTTAATTTATTTTATAATATATATTTAAATATATAATATTTTTATAATTTTATATAATTATTTTATTTAATTTTAAATAGAAAATTTTGATTTAAAAATAAATGAATTTGAATAAAAACTAGATAATTTAATATAAGAAGATTAATTTAAAGACAAAAATAATAAAAAGAGATTAAGAATGATTTTATTAATGGAATATTTTTTTTTCTTTGCCAAAAGCTATTATAAATCCCCTTAATCATTATAAAATGATATTTAAACAATGAATAAATTAATTGAATATATTTTCAATTTCAATTTCTCGCAATAAGATGAAAGCAATTTTTTATTTTAAATAAGTATTTATACAGATCAAATTACAAAAGAACTTTGGGAAAGTATAATTAGAGCATTAAAAAGCGTTTCCCTAAATGAATATAATAACGAATATTTATCAACATTTAATTGATATTTTGATATATTTTTTAATTATATTATTAAACAAATATAAATTATTTTTAAATAAAGTTAAAAATAATCTTAAAATTTAATACAATATAACATCTTATATATATAAGATCATTTTTAATTAATATCCAAAATAAATTTGGCTAATCTTTTTTTATTTATAAAAATAAAAAGTTTTTCTATATAACCTTAATTAAAATTAAATTTAAGCTTAATATTATTTTATAAAATAATATATATTTGTTTATTAATAATTTTTTGTAAACCTTTTCTTTTTCTTTTTATTTATTTATATATAATTTAATATTTTTATTAAAATAATTAATATTAATATAAAATCAAATAAACAAATAAATTAAATATAGTTATTAAAACTTTGTATTTATATATTAATATATATAAAAAAAAAATTAATAATATTAATTAGCATTTAAAAAAAGTACAGTCTTTTAGCCTGTTTAATAAATAGAAAAATGTTAAATATTATTTATGCATGTTTTAAAAATAAAGAATATATGTTAAAAATAATTAATAATAATTCAAAAAAAAAATGTATAACTATATAAATAATCATAATTTCACAATTTAATAATTAAAATTATAGAAAAATCTTTAATAAAACCTAAAGTCCATATTAAAAAGAATTATTCATAAAGAAAATTCAAAAAAAAAAAAAAAAAAACTAAATCTAAATCTAAATTTCTATTAGTAAATGTATATATATTAATAATTTAACTTCTAAAATATCAGTTATATTAAAAAAGAAATTTTTTAAATATAATATATAATTTAATATTTTATAATATATATTTATAAAATTAATTTATATAAATTTTATTAAGTATTTTATTATAAAAATAAAATTTATTTTTTTAACAATAATTTTAATTAATATAAAAAATAATAACAGAATTAATATTATTAAAAGATGGATATTGTAAAATAATAAAATTCTTATAATATATGATTTTTATTAAATCTTAATAAGAATGAAGATATATCATTTGGACAATAAATATTTGATTCACTTGAAAGAGATTTCATAAGAGTAATTTTTTATAGAATTATATTAGCAATAAATTATAAAAAGATAATTGATGAACTTGCAGGAGAATAAAGCTTAGATAGATTTAGAATTGAATATGAAAAACTTTAAAGAGCACTAAAAAATTCATATGAAAATGAAAAAAAATTATTGGCTAGAATAAAAGATTTAAATGATGATATTATATAACATGCAGCAAAGCTTAAAATAGCCTTTAAATTGACATAAGAAGATACAAATACAATTTAGCTTCTTAAAAATGAACTTGAAAAGGCTTATAAAGTATTAGAAACTTCAAAAGAAAGAGAAGAAAAATCAAAATCAAAAATAGAAAATTTATATACTGAAATAAAGCATTTAACCGCTCTTAATGAATAATCAAATAATCCTAATATGTATAAAAACGATACTGCAGAAAAGCTTGCCTAATAGCTTTAATAATATAGATAAGGTTTTTTTTATAAATATATATAATTTTGAATAAAATAGAGAGAAATCAACTTTAGACTGACCTTTTAGATTTAAAAAATAAAGTTAACTTTTTTGTTGATAAATTAAAATAAATTGAAAATGAAAAAATTATTATTGAAGTAAAAATGAGAGAAGAAAAAAAGCAAAGAGACGAGATCAAAGAAAAAGTAGTAAAAGACGAAGAAAGAAGAAAAAAAATCAAAGGTCTTAATTTTTTTTTTTTTTAAATAATAAATAAAAAAATAGATGAATTAGAAATTATTAAAAAAAACTTTGATGTAGAAAAAGAAAACACAAAAAAGTTAGAAAACGAAATAACAAATTTTATTGATTAAATAAAAGATTAGGAACAATAAAAAAATAAATTGCAACATGATATTGATATTGTTAATAAAGAAATAAAGCAATTACATTTAGACATAGATTTAAAACACAAAAACGAATAATAATTAAAACTATCAAAGAAACTTTTGGAATCAGATAAATATAACTCGAAGCGACAATAAAAAAAAGAGAAAGAATATAATGAATTACATTCTTAAGTAGATTAATTAGGAAAATAATACAATCAATAATAAAATAAATAAAGATAAATAATAAATTAACTTCAAATAGCAGAAAAAGAGAAATAAATAGTAATTTAAAGTGTAATGTAGCTTGAAAAGTAAGTCTAAGATACTTAATGTTTAAATAATTAGGATTAAAAATTTAAAGAGGAACTTAAAGAAGCAAAAAAACTTTTACAAAATGATTTAAAAAAAACAGATGAAAGAAATAAAGAATAAGCTTAAAAAATAAGAAATTTAGATAAAGAAATAAACGAAAAGGAAAATGATATCAAAGAGAAAGCTTGGGAACTAGAACAATTAAAGAAACAGCTTTCTGAATTAGAAAAAGAAAAAGAAAGATATGGAAAATAGGCAGCCTAAGCTAATGAAGAATATTTTAGGAGACTTGAAGAAATTAAATTAAAGGATAATCTTATTTCAGAATTTTAGAAAAAAATTTAGAAACTGAAGCTAAGTTAAAAGCTTAATAGCATTTGTACGAAGAAGTAAGAAAGCATAAAAATAAATATTCTAAGAATTTATCAGAAACTCAAGACGAAATTGCTGAAATCAAAAGGAGATATAAAATAACAAATCATTAGATTTCGTAATTAAAGGAAGAAATAGATGCTAAAGAAATTGCTTTGGCAAAAGAACATTTTGAACATAAAAAAAAAGATAAAGCAATTGAAGAGCATGCTCATATTTTAGAAAAAAATAAAAAAGATATTGATGGAATGTAGGAGGAAATTAAAAATTTTGTAAATTATTTTCAAAAGTATGTTTTATATTTTATTTTCAAAAAAAAAGAAAGGTGAAATTAACAAATTATAGTTTATTATTAAAGAAAGTGAAACAAAAAGAACCAAATTAAAGGAGGAATATGAGGTTGTAGTAAGTGAAAGAGATATTTTAGGAACTTAACTTATAAGAAGAAACGATGAATCGGCATTACTCTACGAATAAATTAAAATACAATAAAACACTTTGGCTGAAGGAGAATAAGCTTATAGAGAAAGAGAAGGAGATATATAGCTTTTAGAATATAAAAAAAATGATTTAGTAAGATCACTTAGAATCTTTAAAAGATAAGTCGCTGATATTCCTGAATTAAAAAACTAAATTAAAAATTATAGAAAAGTATTAATTGAAGAATAACTTAAAGTAAAAGCTTTATCCTAAGAATTGGAAAATCCTATGAACGAAACTAGGTGTAGAAAATTAGAAGGAAATGATCCTGATGTATTTGAAATGAGAGCTAAATTAGTTACATTATAAAAAAGATTAATTAGTAAAACCGAATAAGTTGTAGAAAAAGAAGTCCTCATTTAATAAAAAGAAAAATAAATTTAAGAATTAAGAGAAATTATGTAAAAGTAACCTGGACCAGAAGAAGCTAAAAAATTATCTTCTCTATAATAATCTTTAAAACAAAGGACAAGATAAATGAAAGCCTTGGCTGCAGAGTTAAATATGTATTAAGCTTAGGTATTTTTATTTTATACTAATTAATTTTTAAAGAACAAAAAATAAAATAATAGATTAATGAATATAAATATGATATAGAGAAAGTAACTAAAGATTTATAAGAAACTAAAAGAAAATATTATGAACAGAAAAAAAGAGATTAGATTGAAAATTAATTTAATTTTGAAAATGTAAATTAAAAAATTATTTAAAATTTAAAAATAAATAGGAATATGAATGAATTAATAATAATTAAGAAATTAAGATTTTAGTATACAAAATTTTATTTTCTTTATAATATTTTATATCTATAAGTATACTATTAAAATTTAAAATATTTAACTTTTAAGCATTTTTAAAATATTTATTAATATAATTTATAAGTTGTTTACATTTTATAAAAATCTATTAAACTTTTAAAGTAAATTATTTTATTATACAGTAATTATTAATATAAAAATGTAAATAAAAAAAAATCATTAAATTTATATTAAAACCTTATTCAATAAGGTTTAGAAAAAAACTATTTTAAAAATAAATAATTTTTATTTCATTGTTAAATTATGATAGTATTAATCGTAGTTTTTCGACAAAATATCCAAAATAACAATCTCAATTTAAAATTTTGATTTTTAAAATTATAAAATTGCAACTTCAATTAATATTCATATATCGATAAATTTATATATATTATATTTATTTATTTTTAAATACATATCTTTTCTATTTAATAAAAATTGAAAATCTTTATAAAAATTATAAAACTTTATTTTTTCTGTTATTTAAAAATATATATCTATTTTATTTAAAAATATATATCTATTTTTTAATATTTGATAAATTTAATATATATTTATATAATTTGATATTAATAGAAAATAAAAATTAGTTATAATATCATATAATTTCTTGAACTAAAAAAATGTATTTCTATATTACTCATACAAAGTTAATTTAAATATATTAATGATATTTTTTAATCTTATATTATTTAATTATTTTCCAATTTTAATTCTA